GTCTCAACAATTACAGTCCAGCCCAAATAAGGACATGTAGCGTCAAGGGCCATGGTCTGTATTCAAAGCCACACCATTGTGCAGCTTCCCATGTTTTTTGGCGTTGTATGTGTCTTCCAACTGCCTGTCAAGCTCTCCTCCTTGTTAATTTCTTATATCATCTTTGAGCCCAAACCTGTCCTCTCCCTCTGCTCTCTAAAAACACATTTGTAGTCATTCTGAAGGGTCAGTAACCAGAGTTAATGATTCCAAGCGACTACATTCCATTCGATTCTCCTTGGTTTACTTGCCTTCGCTGAGCCTGACTGATTCGTTGAGAGGGCGACATGTTTGAACCCCATGTTTTGAAGTGGCTTTTCAACGATGCAATCCTGCAGAGGTAAATGATCTCGTGGCCTCTATCACCAAGTGGGTTCAATTGAGTGTGACCGGATCAAGAAGCTGGTCGTATAACTGGCCTGGGTTACTCTATCAACCAAGTGGGTTCAATTGAGTCTGACGGAATCAAGAAGCTGGTTGTTAACTCTGTTCACTACGTTCCAATTACATCTCTTGGGTGACTTGCCTTTACTGAGCGCATACATTGGTAAGTCCTAGAAATCCGGTATCACGAAGCTGGTCGTCAACTGGAGCCTGTTAACCCTGGGTTTTCCAGTCAGCTGCAAACGCCTCACGGTTAATGAGTCAGAGCTGGTAATTATGGTGGGTTCGAGTCCCATCTGGGCTGTTTTACAGCAGAGTGGCCGCAGCGGAAGCGTGCTGGGCCCATAACCCAGAAGGTCGATGGATCGAAACCATCCTCTGCTATTGGTGCTTTTGCTTACAGGACGACATGTATTAAACCCATGTTTGAAGGGCCTTTCAACGTCTCAAACAGTAGCAGCCCAGCCAAAATGATTGAATGCTCGTTCCTGTGGCATCTATCACCAAGAGGGTTCAATTGAGTCTGGCTTGATGAGGCTCAACTGAATGCAAGAAGCTCCTCCCTCCTTGTTGATTTCTTAACAATCTTTTGAGGCCAAGTGACGGAATCAATCCGTGTCAATCAATCTTCTGGACACATTTTTTGGCACACCTTTTTCTGCTGTTCTCCTTCATGTCAAGCTTTACTCTGTGTCCACCTCTCTCACCTCTCTCCCCTCACTTTCTGTTTTTTTTTTTCACTGCACAGTAGCGTCACGGGCCATTGTCATGTTATTCAAAGCACACATTGTGCAGCTTCCCATGTTTTTCGTGTTTGCAGTGGAACTCACTTTATGGTCTTTACAACTGCTGTCATTTTCAGGTCCATCGAGCCCCAGTGGCCTAATGGATAAGGCACTGGCCCTCTAAGCAGGGATTGTGGGTTCGAGTCCCAGTCTGGGTGTGTTTACAGCAGAGTGGCGCAGCGGAAGCGTGCTGGCCATAACCCAGAGGTCGATGGATCGAAACCATCTCTCTGCTATTGGTGCTTAACTGGCAACGGAACGTTGATAGGACGAACATGTATTAAACCCAGTTTTGAAGTCGCTTTCAACGTGTCAACATTAGCAGTCCAGCCCAAATAAGGAATGTAGCGTCAAAGGCCATGGTCATGTTATTCAAAGCACACCATTGTGCAGCTTCCCATGTTTTGCGTTGTAATGTCTTTCCAACTGCGCCTGTCAAGCTCCTCCTCCTTGTTAATTTCTTAATCATCTTTTGAGCACAAACCCCTGTCTCTTCTCTGCTCTCTAAAAACACATTTGTAGTCATTCTGAATGGGTCAAAGTAACCAGAGTTAATGATTCCCAAGCGACTACATTCCATTCCGATTCTCCTTGGGTTACTTGCCTTCGCTGAGCTTGACTGATTCGTTGAAGAGGGGCGACATGTATTGAACCGCATGTTTGAAGTGGCTTTCAACGATGCAATCTGCCAGAGGTAATGATCCTCGTGGCTCTAATCCACCAAGTGGGTTACAATTGAGTGTGACCGGAATCAAGAAGCTGGTCGTTAACTGGCGCTCTGGGTTACTCGTATCAGCCAAGTGGGTTCATACTTCGAGTCCTTACTCAGTCAACAGACTTCAATTGAACCCTCTATTGGATCCCAGGACGACATCATTCATCCTGTCTAGACGTGAAAGCCACTTCCAAACATGTTAAATTACATGTTGCCTGTAAGAACACCAATTAGAAGAGTCGATTCATTCACCTCTTACCACACCTTCCCCCCACTCTGCTGTAAAACAGCCCAGATGCTGACCAACATAATTAACCAGGCTTCTGCTCATTAACTGGCGTCACGACTAACAGTTTAACAGGTCCAGTACGACCACTCGTGATTACCGATTTCTAGATTACCAATGTTCCTTCAGGTAACAAGTCACCCAAAGGATGTAATTGAGTATGGAACAGGATTAAAACCAGCTTTCTTTGATCGGTCAGGCTTCATTAACCCTTGTGATAGGTACAGAGCCATTTAACGGACCAGCTTCTTGATTCCTCACACTCAATTAACACTTTGATAAGACCACGAGGATCATACCTCTGTCAGATTGCATCTTGAAGCACTTCAACATGGTTCAATACATGCGGCCCTCTCAACGATCAGGTCAGCTCCGGAACAAGTAACAAAGGGAGAATCAGGAATGGTAGTCTTGAATCATTAATCTGGTACTGGACCCATTCAGGGAATGACTACAATGGTTTTTAAGACAGAGAAAAGACTTTCTAAGATGATTAAGAAATTATACAAAAGAGCTTGGACAGGCAGGGTTGGAAGCATACAACGGCAAAAAATGGGAACTGGGCAATGGGTGTGGCTTTTGAATAACATGGACATGGCCTTGGACGCTACAATCCTTATTTGGGGCTGGACTGTAATGTGAGACTTGAACGGCGAAAGCGACTTCAAACATGGTTTAATACATGTCGTCTATCAACGTCCTGCCAGTTAAGCACCAAACTAGCAGAGATGGTTTCGATCCATCGACCTCTGGGTTAT